CCCCCCCCCCCCCCCCCCCCCCCCCCTTTAGGAGCTGGCAGAAATCCTGGGGATTGAAGAGTCCATAAAAACTCCTTTCTAGGGGTGAGCCTGGCATGTGAAGGCTCAGGTACATTGGTTAGGGGACTTCTCTGTGAATAGAGGGCAACTTTAGGGCTGTTAATCCAACTTCTTTGATCTCTGTATTCACTCAGTCTTTATAGTGTACATTTTGTTCCAGGTGGACATACATATGTGGTAAGGTTGCAGTAGAAATTATGATGATTAAACAGGTCTTTTCCAAGTCTGGTCTCCTTGGAAGGGAAGTGGTAGCTCTTAGCTGGAGCAGGCACTGCACTCAATCTACAGATGCATGTTGGTTACATTAGCTTCCCTTCTTGCCCACCCCCCAAAATGAAAACAAAGCAAAACAAACTCTTAAAGGAACGTCAGAGTTGCAAAGTAAAGCACTTGGTTTCCCCATGAAATGAGCTCGGATGATAGGTGTGCCAGGTGCCACACACTAGATCTGTGGCAAAACCAGTTGTCCTGGATCCTTTTTCAGTGTCTAAAATGCAAAATAATGTGTCTTGGTGTTTGTTTGTTTGTTTTTTGCAGCTTTGCTGTATTCACTGTTCTTCCTATGTGGTGAATGGGGCAGTGATGCTGTAGGAAAAAACAAACGTGATGTTGTACCACATTTACTCAAATAAAAGACAAGGCTGATTTATAAGATGACCTCCCCTTTCCCCACAATAGTTAGATTCTATATATGGAAAATATATAAATTTTGTTACAATTTTCCAGATATAGAATCTAATTCTTGGTGGTTTACCTTGTATTAGTCTTCCTCTCACTGCTACAGCAGGGAAAATGTGTATCTGGAGGGTCAGGTAGCACCTTTGCTCTTTGCTTCCCCCCAGTGTTTTCACCTGGCAGCCCCTTCCCTCTCTTCTTACAGTCAGACATTGATCTTCCTGAGTGCATGGAAGTGAGGAACAAATTTAAAAAAGCTAGGGGTGTACCGATTAGAGATCTTGGGGTAGATACTGATAGTTGATTTCTAAGGAGTGATATCAGCTGATACCGATCCAATTTCCAATACACAGCCGGGCAGCTTGAAGAGCTGCGTGCAGTTGGTACGTCTGTTGTGGTGGAAGGGGAGGGTAGATCAAGGGCCCTGTGGTGAGGGAGGGAGTGGGGCTGGAGCCAGGTGCTGCCCAGCCAGGGCGGGGCATGGGATAGAGCCGGGGCTCATCCAGGGGTGTGGGTGGGTTCTGCTGCTGTGTGCACCCTGGGAGGGCTTGGGGTGG